CCAGGCTCTGCAGTCAGCAAACCAGGGGCTGATGTTTGCACTCGAGAGAGGCTTGGAAGCTTTTTGGCTGCAGAAGTGCCATGACCATGTTTGTGGTCCAGCAGCTGCTCTGTCCATCCCTCTCATGCCAGCGAGCTCGTGCGTGCCCTGTGCACTGGTGAGCAGAGTGTGGGAGGCAGCCTGCAGCAGGCTCAGGGGTACAGGGGGCTGAAACAGACCCCAGGCCCCAGCCCTGGCTGTGTTTGGGTCACACACAGGGTGGCTGTGTGGCTCCTGCTTTGTGCAGAGAGGGGCTCGGCTCCCACAGTCGAGAGAGGTCGGCTGGTGCTTCTCCCTGTATCTACAGTGGTATCATATCTACAGCAGGGTCTGTTTAGCAAGAGCAGTTTAAAGTGGCTATGTTTATCAAGTTTGCTACTTTATGAATTAAAAAAAACAAAAAACAAAACAACAAAACAAAAAAAACCAAACCCCAACAACTATAAATACAAAGACTCTCACACACCAGACACTTGCAGCCTGCGTGACTCATCAATAACCGCATCAATATTCTGTTAAAAAGCTTATTCTACTTAGAACTATACATAGTACAAGAGACCGAGAGTGGCAGTCGTGTTCGGGCACGCTACCTGCCCCAGGGTGGCCCACAGTCAGGTGCTTCCTAAAAAATCAAGGAGTTACAGTAACATGGCACAGGACTGCAAAGCCGATCACAGCTTCTGCTTACACTGCATACAAAGTACCAAGGGGAACACAAAAAAGAACTGGTGTTAATACTGATGGATTAAAGAGTAACTATAAAGATCAAAACAGACGTTCACAGCATGCTACATATATTGCTCACAAACTTTCCTTTTTTTTTTAAAAAAGGCTAATACAAAACAAGGAGTTGGCAGTCTGATTTTCAGTTTTGTCGGATAGAAAGGTAAAGCATATACATTCATTGTGTGGCTTTCCAGCAAAAGGAGAAAAGGGTAAAATCCAGAGATTTCAAGTTTGCAAAATTCCTATTTTTTTAAGCTACAGTTCATATCCAGTTCTGGTCACAGTCGTGAAAAGACCTCTGACTGCACTGCCTAGCAGAGTCCAAGGGTTGTACCCTACATATTATTATTTTCCCCCTAAAAGTGGCCACATCACCCACCACCATGAGCAGGCTGCTCCTGCAGCCACCTGGGCACATGGCAGCTGGGCTGGAGGGAAGAGGTTTGGGTCTGGTGGCACGACATGAGCATGAAGTGAGGAATGAGACACAGTTTTGGACTGTTGGTGTTTGGAGCTGTTGCTGTTGCTGCCCCCCAGACTCCTCAGCTGGAGACACAATACTTGGTGATTGACCCATTTTGCCTCAAAACTCCCTTCAAAAGGCTGATGGGGATGTGAAAATGCAACTCAACAGCAGCAGGTTTTTCTTGGGAAGGATAGTTCCCTTCCCCTACTCCATCTTTGGAGTAAGGAAAGGGTCCCAGCTCTGTTCCCAAAGAAGCCTTTGGACATTGTGGAAGGAGGCATCCTCCACCACCTCCCCTATGCACAGGCACACAAAAGAACCTCTCAGACAACTTCCCTCAACATCAGGGAAGTTTCTTCAGCTGACCAATCCCTCAACTCCTCCTGAGCTGGCCGTGTCCCCTTGGAGTGCCTGTGCCTCCCAGTGCTGACAGACTGGCTTGCTCCCCACAGTTAGTGTAACAATTGGCATCTCCAGTACCTCTAACTACTGTCAGGAACAAAGTTTCTATATTCCACAAGCCTGATGATACTCAGTACCCTAGGAACACCCAACTCTGTCTCCAGCAGCTGCTTCACAACATGCATTTGGATTTTTTCCTATAGATAAATGAAAAACCCAAATCCACTTGTTCCAGAGGCTGGATGCAGTCTGCCCGGCTGCAAAGCACCCAAGGGACTGCCAGCCAGGTGGCCCTGTAAGCCTGCCTGGCAGAAAGGAACCTCAAATTCCCTGTTAGAAGTTCCTCTGAGAAACCTGCACAGCTGATAGCTCAAGCATGGGGCGTTTCACCAAAGAAAGAATTTCCTTAGTGAATCCACTGCATTTTTTACTGTAACTCCAGACACACTCTTTGATTCTGTAACTCTTTGACACACTACTAAGCAAATACTGAGTTTCATCCTTTTGAACCACATTTAGCATTTTCCTGTCCAGAAACAATCTACTATGGCAATTAAGTGTCTCTAAATGTGAGAAAGAGCCTCTGCCCTTACCAACAGGCAGTGACAGAGGAACCTTGTTTTCAAGGTTAAGGCTGGGAGGTTGTCCCTGCATCTGGGAGGCTGCTTGGGGTTGGGAATTGGGAAAACAGGAAGCACTTGATGCAGGACGGGGGGGTGGCAGGTTGGAAAATGACAATTTTTCCCCTGATGAGCAGCAAAGGATTAAATATCTGCAAGAGAGACCTGATGCAGACTGGGGGAGCAGCAGCACGACCACCTGCCAGGAAATGTGCTCTAAGGAATAAATTAACACTGATCAAGATGCTCCTGAAGTTTCCTCATACTACTGTGCTCTCTCCATCTCTCACACCTGTAATCTATGCAGTAGGTATGAAATACTATATTAATTTTCATTTGGAGATAAAATGCTTCACTTACAATTCCCAAATATAGGAAAGCTGGTGGATGCATCTTTTCAGACAGACATAGTGCTGGGGGACATGAGGAACTGTAAACCTGAAGTTCAGGTAATGAAAACTGACATTTTGTCCAGCTCTTGGAATGACTGCTAACAGCAACTAAATCTTACAGCTTTATAGTCAGATCTGCTCTGGCAAAGTTCATTTACAACAAATCCACTCCCTCTTTTGTTTTGTGCAACATCACCCCTTATTTATGGGAGAAGGATCCAAACCTACAGAAAGTAACTGAAAGAACATCACTTGAGATCAAGAAGATCAGGGTATTTCTTTTGATCCAAAAATGTTTGGTTCAGGCACATGCTATCCACTTACTCCCACCAATGAATGTTTTCTGCAAGTAGAACCTAAACAACTCAGCTCTTCTAAAAGGGAGTCCAAATTCTGGATCATGAGCCTGAAATGTATGCCTATGTTAATGGAAAACACACATGCATGAGAAACATTGAGAACCTGTTCTGCAAGAGCAGTGGCTTACAGTTTAACTGCTTTAGGAGAGATTTCTCTAAGTCTACATTAGGTCCCCAAAACAACTCATTTCATTAACAATCACTGTGAATCACATGGATCTGGTGTATATTATTCCTTTAGTCTCTATGGAAATTAATTTTATTCTATTTTATTTAGGTGATTCAGTTTCTTTAAAAATCTGACTCAAACATTCAAATGGGCATTTTCTAGGATTTTGCCGAGTGCCTGGGTGCTTAAATCCCCACTGAAATTTAGGCAGCTAGCTGGTTTTCTCAAATCCCATGAAAATATCAGTAGCACTACAAACAAAAACACACTTGAAAAATCTGGTGCATTGACTTTCTGCACTCAAGTAATAGAGCAACAAAATGTCTTCCTTTTTGTTCTTTTCTGATCTGTTCTAAATTTATACTTACATTTGTAATTGTTTACAAGCACTGACTTTCCTGTCCTTAAATCTTTTTTTTAATACATAGGAAGAGCTGATAGTGGTAATTCTTTAACTCTTACAACGGAAATAAATCCTTTTCAAGGGTCAAGGTGTTGGGCAAGGGAGGGGATTGTCCCACTGTGCTCTGCACTGGGGCAGCCTCACCTTGAGTGCTCTGTGCTGCATTGGGTGCCACAATATGCAAGATATGAAACTATTAGGGAGCATCCAAAGAAGGGCAACAAGGATGTGAAGGGCTTTGGGATGTGAAGGGCTTTGAGGGGAAGCCACATGAGGAGTGGCTGAGGGCACTCGGTCTGTTCAGCCTGGAGGAGACTGAGGGGAGACCTCACTGTAGTTACAAATTCTTTGAGAGGGAAGAGGAGGGGCAGGCACTGATCTCTTTGGTGACCAGTGACAGCACTGGAGAGAATGGCCTGAAGTTGAGTCAGGGGAGGTTCAGGTTGGATATCAGGAAAAGTTTGTTCCCCCCGAGGGTGGTTAGGCACTGGAACAGGCTCCCCAGAGAAGCCTGACAGAGTTCAAGAAGTGTTTGGACAATGCTGTCAAGCATATGGTGTGACTCTTGGGCCTGTCCTGTGCAGGGTCAGGAGCTGGGCCTCTTGTGGGCCTCTTCCAACTCCAGATTTTATGATTCTGTGATTTTCATTTTAATGAAGGCTTTAGGACAAAGGATATATGTTTCAGTTCAGCCTTGATGAAAATAAATCCATCTACAGCTCACCAAAATTCTCATAGGACACCACAGCACTAGCTGTAGTAGCTATCTGCACAAACTGCACCCAAATTTAAAATTATTATTTCTGTTTTAATGATTATTTCTGTTCTTGTATAAGGATACTCTCATGAAATTCAGCTGTGGGTAGAGTGTTCTGGGAAATGTAAATGCTTTCTCCCGTTGGCACCTTTTTCACTTCTCTTCATTACCAAAAAAAATAGAGCAAGGACATACTCTACAGCAACACACAAGTTTTAAGTGACTCTGCAATGATAAGAAGCTGTTCATGCTCAAAAGCTCTGTTCCCTACTCACAGTGTTCCCTGTGCTAGCTGGTTAATTTGTACCTATCAGGCTTTCTCTTCAGCAGACAGGAGACTGTACACTTTGTTTTTATGTTGGTCACGGCTGGGATTTTGTGGACTAACATGAATGCTGGGAATTACCAATTCCAATGAAGGAACACAGAGGGAGAGGATCTACACTTCCAATCATTATGGTACCCTTAAGAAAAATATTAATGAACAAAGTGTGAAGATTCACATTCATGCATGCTTTAAAAATGTAAAAAAAATTCCAAGAACACTTGCACATTAAAACCTGGCACAGTGTGAACCTAAAGCACGCATAAAGTGTATGGCAGCGTTGTCTGACTTTAAACAAACATCTATTAAAAATCCCAAATTTGTGTATAAAAACCAGGCTATAAATTGTTGCACTGTAAATGCAATACTTTCAAAAAAATGCCACGTGGAAAACATTTCCAGATGTTTCAAGTTTGCATGTAATATTAAAGAAAAAAAACAGAAATAGCAAACTAGTTTTACAATGACATTTCCTGTGATGGAATGTCTTGCAGGCCATATGGGACTTGATATGGCACTTAAAAAACCAAAACAAAACACTGGTTTACTACAAGTTTTATGAAGCAATCCATTTATGGTTTCTGTATTTCAAATCTGCTCATGTACTTTGCTCATGAAGGCATTTGAGCTGGCAAGTATATTTCATAAGGAAAGAAGTAAAGGCACTCATGTTTCCAAATGTAAAACTCAACCTACTCCAGAAGTCTGTGCATTTCTGAGGGGAAACGAAGCCATCATATTAGTTATCCCAATCTAGTTTCACCTCCTTTCCAGAGCTCAACTGTGCTTCTTGAGGACTACTTGACTTTTCAATGCAAAGAAATTTAAAGTAGTACTGAACAGTTCCCATCACTTGAAAAACACCCGAAGTATATCATGAAAACTTCTCTCAGCAGAAGCCATTAGGTATGGCCACTACAATCACAAGAGGGGGGAAAAGGATCATAACAATTTAGAAAGCAAATCTAAGTTCACACATAAGAGCATCTCAGTATTTCTGAGAAATCTTTGCCATTAGCTATAAAAGATAAGTAAATCTGATGTTCTACCCAATGCTCTCTAGCAGACAGACCAGTGCTGTCTGTTGGGTAGTTTTCTAAATAGCCAACATGACACTTAAAAAAAATTAATTACTGATTTTTTTTCTTCAAAAGGTTTTCACATGCAGAGTCTGCAGTCTGAAAGTGCAGAAAAGTGTACAATCATTGGGCTTTCCAATCTGGAACGGACAGATAAAGCAGAAAAAACAACATGCAAAGTCAAAGCAAGGATCAGGAAAAGGAAGAAAAGAGAAAACTAACTTTAGTAGAGTACTGGTCCATGGTTTTGTAAATGGAAAGTGTCAAAATATGACTGGTAGTATTTTTTTTCTAACTATTCTGCAATCACCAATAAAAAAAAAAGTCCTGCATTAACTACTGCAATCCAACAGAACATTAAAAATAAACCTGTCTAGTTAGTTTTGAATGTATACCACAGAAATAAAGGTCACCCTCCTCAAAAGAAATATGAAAAGTCCAAACCAACAGACAAATTTGAAGCAGTTCACTTGTGTTCTACTGGGTAAGTTTAAGCATCTCTTTAGGCACTTCACTGGTTCATTAAATGCAATACAAAATAAAGCTATAAATATCAACATTTTGTGCTCTCAAAAATTAGTCAAAAGCAACAGAAAACAGCACAAAAGTGTGACATTTTTGGCAGCTTATTTCTTCCCTTCCCCAATATTACTGGTTGTCCAAAAATGCTTTGTTTTGGGGATGCTTTGGCATCTCAGTATCAAGTTGTCTTAAGCCATAAAAGCTAAAACAAAACTGCTAGGCCTTAGACATTAAAGAAATTTGGTTTTAAAATTTCTTTATGGCTATATAAGAAGGACACTTTAGCAGTGGCATGTCAGGGAAAAAAGCTTGCTTTCTTTTTAAATATTGCACTTTTCTTTTGTTCACTCACACTAATGCATAGAAACTTTAAAAACTTTGAATATTACAATTTCATGCTATGAAAAAGTTATGGGAAATAATTTCTATACATCCAATATGAAAGAATAGATATACTAGCCTTCCTTTACTTTCCTTATTTAAAACATTGATAAAGAAGAGAGTGCAAAAAACCCCACAACCCTATTTTTGGTCAGCCTGTGTATTAATTTTATAGGTGCCAACTAAACAAATTGCAACACATGATGAGCATGGATGTTGTCAGGACAACTGAGGGTGACTGTCAGTAAAACAAGACTATGCATGATTGAAACACAGTAAGTGTGGCTGAAATGGCAAATCGTGAGGCCTCTTCTCCTTGCGAAGGGGCACAACAAAGCGTGAATGAATTTTGCACTTCAGTAGCATGCTGTAAGATTTATCAAGATTAATTTCACATTAAAGTGTGCTCAATGTTTGCATCCACATCTTGCATCACCTCCAATTGCTGTAGTAAGACAGTGACTGGCAGCAGTCTCCGTGACACACAGGAGAATCCAGTGGGCGATTCGACGCAGCACAGCCCGCGCGTCTCTGTCGCAAGTCACGACGTGGTGGGACGTTCTCAGGACAGGCAGAACTGATCTTCTGCTGGACTCCACTCATCTGAAAAATGATTGCTTGGAAAAAGAAGTCTCTAAGCACTTCACTCCAGTGCCTAAAGAACAAAGCGCTAGGATTGGATACAATAAAACCAGTTCCAGGATCCTGACCGCTGTGCAGAAATCCAGCCGGAAACAATGCAGAGTAGCGCTCCTCAGTGTTACTTTTGTTATCATTAGTAATGTTAAGCATCAAGAAAATAAAACACGTCATTGCACATTACAGCCGCCAAGAAGCACGGCTAAACTTTGACACTAGAGAATTGAATAACCTGATGCTACATCACAAACAGCTTCTGGTGTGTATCTATTTCAAAAGGTCTTTACATACTCAGTAAAAGCCCTGTACTCCTGGCCAGCGAGTGCTTCAGGTTAAGTGACGAGTTATGGCACGAAGGGCATACAGAAGTTCGGCTTGCATCCGAGCTTCCATCAGAAGTAGATTGACATGAACCTGTAAAAAATTGCATCAGCCATTTAGCTCACCTCTGAGTGCAACATGGTTATTCATTCAGGCTGAAAATTCTAACCTTTAGTAAAGTATAGCTGCAAGAAAACTTTGCCATTTCTCCCTGTACCCTGCTGCAGGACTACAGTTCCTCTAGAAATATCTGTGTAGTGATGCCAATATCGACAACATCCCAGGATGTTGTCAGGACAACAAACAAGATTGCTGCTTCAAGCAATCTTCCATCTGAGAAGCCAACCTTAAATATTTTTTTGTATCCTAATGGAATTAGCTCTTTCAAATTATATTTGGTTATCTTTACTACCACCTGGGACCATTATATAGGAGAACAGAATAAGGAACAGTTTCCATGCCAGATAAGCTAGAAGGCACTCATGCACTGAACCCTTCTCAGGAAGCATTTCATGTGATATCTGAAAGCATGTTGACATTTTTATTGCTGAAAACCACTATAAAATATACATATATATATATATATATATATATATATATGAGTTTAGGTATTTCTTGATCTCCAAATCCCAAGTATTGGCATAGTTGATCACTTCTGCATTCTCAAGTTTATCTTTAAAACTTTTTAAAAGTAAACTATCTTGACTTTTCTTTTACAGTTGTCCATTCAATTTTATGGAGAAGTGACTCAAAATAATAACAATAGAAGTTATTTCCAGCACACTAAGAAGCATTTTTGTCAAACTGGTATCTAACACTCAAGGAATGTTTCTCATTTGTTTTTCTCTGATTTAAAACAGTTCATGTGCCAGATGCTGCCATTTTAGGTGTCCTCATACTTTAATTTTCAAAGAGCACAGGGCTCTGTGTGAAGCCACTTTGGTTTTGGAGCACATACCTTCTCCGAGTGCTTGAACTGGCGCCAGTAGCTGTCGTACATGCGCTTGGTGGTTCTCTCGGGGTAGCAGGTCACTGTCTTTATGTAAACCTTCAGGCTGCGTTCAAGTAGCTGATTCACTTCTCCATAATCGTAGTCATCATACCTAAACAACACAAGCAATCATTCTGCTTGATGTAACTTTCTAAAAGCGCTGTTTTTTGCAGCATCACGTTCTTAAGCCTGGGAACTGGAACGTTTATCATACATGACCAAAAACCATGTGCTAAGAGAGGATCTTAAAGGCTTAGTGGGATCATAGAATTTTAAGGCTGGAAAAGACCTTTAACATCATCAAATCCAATGGTTAACCCTAAACCACACCCGTGTTCACCATTAAACCACGTGCCCTATCCACCATTTTATGAACACTTCCAGGGATGTTTTTTTCTCCCACTTCTGTGGGCTGTTCAAATGCTTTACAAATCTTTCTGTGAAGAAATTTTCTCTAATATCCAATCTAAACCTCCCTTGGTGCTACTTGAAGCCATTTGTTCTCATCCTGTCACTTGTTACATGGGAGAAGAGGCTGACCCCCACATGGCTACAGTCTCCTCTCAGGTTGTTGTAGACAGTGATAAGGTGCCCCCTGAGCCTCCAGACTAAAGATCTCCAGCTCCCTCAGCTGCTCCTCTTAGGACTTGTGCTCCAGACCCTTCCCCAGCACCACTGCCCTCTCTGGACACGCTCCAGCCCCTCAATGTCCTTCCTGTAGTGAGGGACCCAAAGCTGAGCACAGGATTGGAGCTGTGGCCTCAGCAGTACTGGGTACAGGGGGACGGTCACTGCCCTGCTCCTGCTGGCCACACCTGGCTGATCCAGGCCAGGATGCCACTGGCCTTCCTGGCCACCTGGGCACACCCTGGATCGTGTTCAGCTGCTGTTGTCCAGCACCCCCAAGCAGCACTGAGCAGCTTCCCAGCCACTGTCCCCAGCTGTAGCGCTGCCTGGGGTTGTTGTGACCAAGTGCAGGACTTGGCACTTGGCATCGCTGAACCTCATACAATTGGCCTTGGCCCACTGATCCAGCCTATCCAGAGCCCTCTGTAGGGCCTTCCTAGCTCCTTCCAGCAAATCAACACTCCTCCCCAACTGAGTGTTGTCTGTAAACTTGCTTAGGGATGCTGTTTTTCCTAAGTGAAGGATACAGGCTGGCTTCAGAGAAGACATTTCTGTAAAAATTTCCATCCTGACTAATTTTCTGCACTGGAAGGAGAAATGATACTGATATGCCAGCAAAACTGCTCTAACTTCCAGACAGAGGTACCATTTCCACTTTAAACACCCAGCCTAAAATCATGCTTTACACATGGTTGATTTTTCTGTTTACATAGTTTTAACATGTATTCCTAAGCCAGGGAATTTTCGTCCATACCTGATTCCATACATACAGTGGACATAGTTAAATAAAGCTCTTCTTAGTGTAGTTGTATCAACATCTTCATGTGTTGCCATAGTGTTATATGTGAGGTTATACACCATCCGAAACTTCTCATCCAGGAGATGCCCAATATCAGAATAAAGCCTGTTTACAAGGGAAAAGCCATGATTTTCCCAAGTATAGTCCTGCAGGAAGAGAAGAAAATATATAAAGGCACAAATGAAGTGAATTCCTTATGTCATCTTCTCTACAACTCAACAGTTTTTGTTGTCTGATAGTTATGACTTTATTCTCTTCCAAAAGTTTGCATTTTGAATCCTTCATCCACATCACTTGCTCCATTTATCGAGAATTCTTGGCAATGAATATCACATTGCAACACCCCTACCCTGGATATCATTAGCCTACAGGTGAAAAAATCCCAAGCTTCTCCTGAAGTGCTTATGGAATCTTCTTCTGCTTTTCCACTCTGACCAGTATCATTCCATGTGGGATTGGCTTTTAAGTTTAAAAACTTGCTCCTCTTGGAAGCTTTGGTGCTTAGCCTCAAGCAGAGATGGAATCTGCTTCCAGCGAGGATGTACAATCATTGGGTAAAGTACTGAACCATCCCTAAAAACCAGATAAAATCCAGGCTGCTTTGGTCTTAGACAGCCACCTGGATTGCAAGATAAAAGCCTGCCTGCTTATATGAGGAATGGGGAATCTTTGCAGAGTGGTGGCACAGCAGGAAGAACCATCCTGCTCCAGAGCAGGGAGCAAGGGCGCTGCGCACAGCCGTCACATGGACAGTGAGAGTGTGCCCACATCCTTGCTCTATCATCCCATCACTGATGACATCTTTACAACTGAGGGCATCATCTCCATGTCCTTCCTGTTTCTGGCTGTTTTCCAAAGGTACTGCCAGGCCAGGATCCTCACCTGGGCACCTTGAAGCATGTCCACTGTCCTGTCCCCCGAGCAGGACAGCAGGGAAGAGCAGAACAGTGCTCCGTTGTCTCACAGAGGCATCAATACAACAACTAAAATATGTCACACTATCACGTTTGGCCTCTGGCTGCCAGCACAAAAGACTATAAGGCTTGTGAGAAATATGCCATACCCATACAGCCCTGGAAAGGTGTCCAGGACATCACAAAAGCCTCTGAGAGCCAGAAGGCCCAGAGAGGAGAAAGTGCCGTTGACTAATAGCAATTGATCCCCATTCTCAGTGAAACCTCCCACCCAAAAACAAGCTTAAAGACATTCTGCTGTGTATAGAATAGCTTTTGTCTATTAATAAATTTAAAACCATAGAGACAAAGACAGTTTTGGTTTTTCAGAGCAAGGATTAGACTTATTGCAGGTGTCTGGGATGCTTAAAATTTAAAATATCATGAATAGCAGAAAATTTGGGAGGCTGTGGGTACATACACCCAACTGCTAAGAGTAGGACATAATAAAGTTAAATTATCAAGGTGACTCCTTCGAATGTAAGCCAGAAGCTGTCCTCTTTATTTAAGAGCAGAGATGTTTCAGTTCCAATTTCAGCTTCTTTGGAGCTTTTTTCCAAGGGAGCCTGCTGCTCCTAAAGTAGTTAGGCAGATTGTTTGATATATAGGCACTGACTATGCCTTATTCTTTTTGGCAGTAATAACCTACTTCAGGCTCATATAAAGACCACAGAATAAACTATCCAGTTCAGCAGAGACTGCTACAAAGCTAAATACATTTCCTGAGAGCAATTGTGTATTCTTTATTTTAAAGTCTCAGATACATCTTCTGACCATGGAGTTTTCCTGCACCCACTGTCATTTTAATAGAAGTTCTCTGATTTGGTTGAAGATCCCTTCCATTGCTTTCCATTTACTTCTAGACTGCTTATGAATGTGCTCTGTAAGATAGAACAGAACCACCTAGAATGTCCCTCCTGTTATATATAATACAAATCTCATGATTCTGGTCATGGCAAAGGATGTCAGTATAGAAGACAATCTACACATAAAATGTATATTCTGTACTTCCAACAGCACTAAGAGATACATATTAAAATACTGCGAAAACTTCAGTAATCATATTTCAGAATTCCTTTTCTTTCATAGCATTCCAAGTCCAGAGATTTGGTGCACATATGAGAACAATACTCCCCAAATCACTCTCACAGACCTGTATGTATCCAGGTATTGAAACCACTGGACAGAGAGTACTTGGAAAAGTGACAGGAATAAAGAGTTGCTCCGGTGGATTTTTTTCTACAACATCTGAAGGGATGGGAAAGAAATTCTTGCTTTCCTACCTTTCCCTTTTATTTCAGATATGCTTTACAGTTTTCAAACAATAATACTAGTAATAACTGAAGTAAGGTGGAAAGCCAAGTACTGCCTTGCCAGAGATTGACAAATAGTGAAAGACTCCATCTCAGGGAGATTTATGCAAGGCTGTGAGTTATTTAATGAACCAGAACAAGAAAAGGAGCATGCTACCAACATACCCCACTATAATCACTTTATGCTTTGCAGTGAAATATAAAAACATTCTTTGAGTTGAATGTGGTTTTAAGAGATGGTACCTGAGCTCTGAATGTTGGCAGATGGTCTTCTCCTCGCCTTGCAAAGTCTTTGTACCCAAACCCAGGATCTTCAACATAACGGGAGACATCTGTAGAAACTATTTCATCATCAAATGCTGGGAATAAAACAGCAAAATGCTTTGCTTTAGGCAAGAACATGAGTTAATGCTGACTTCCAACTACCACTCTACTACAGGACTAGAGGACAATTTAGAAGTTATGCAAATGAGAAGAGTGATACAAAGGAAAGAAACATTTCAATCCTCATATGCTTATATTGGATACATTACTTTCATTGAGCCCATTAAATGTCAGCCTGTACCAGATATCTAATGTACTTCTACAAAAAGAGAAGAGATGGGCTATACTTCCATCTGGAGGTTTCCTTTTCTCTCTGTTGACTTCTGAGGGAGGCTAATTATGTCAGGAAGATGAACATCATTAGCAAAGTCACTGTGTTAGCATAAGAAACAAAATAATGGATCCTTGACAGCAGGATTGTTGTACTGATTAGCCTTTGTGTCAGGAATCACACTGGCTCTGTGTGTAAGCTGGAGTATGAGCACCAGACAGCAACACAACACTCCACTGGTAAATATCAGCTGAAGACTATATGAAAGGAAAGAGCTCCACAGTCCATCAGGGTGAAATTCTGCCAGAAGCTGTAGTAACTAAGCATATTCAAAGAGCTCCAAAACATATCACTAAGCACACACAGGTTCTCTATCAGGAGTCAGTCTTTCCCTCCCGAATAAACAGGTGGCTTGATTGTGTAACTACCTCTGCAGAAGTTGACTGCTGCATAGCTGACTGCATTTGACCCTGATGTTAAAATCATGGCTTGCTTCCACATGCATTGGTAGAACAGTTGCCATATGTCCACTGTTAGCACCTTGAAAAGTCTGTTAATCTAAGAATTGCAGAAGTGCTTTATCTCCTCTTTGCCTCATTAAACAATCAAAACATAACTGTGTAGGAAGAAGCTTGGACAACATCTGCTACAGTAAATTCTCAGCAAAGAATAAAAAAAGCCTGTACACATACACTCCTCTGCTCTGACAAGGACTGGATTTCATGAAAGGGTAAAGGGCCAACACACACAGACTCCTCAGCTGAAATCAGCAAATGGTAAAGAGGAAAGAAAGTCAACAAAACTATCAGCAACCCTACTCAAAACCCCCTTCTGTCTTGAATGACCCCTTTTCCTTAAACACCTGAAGTTGCACAGACTCGTGGAAGTCCTGATTTGATAAAGAAACTGCAATGAGTGTCCATTTAACTGCACTGCTTATACTGCCTGACCAAAGGAAACTACAGCAGGAATTTACAATGTCCATTTCAAAAAATCCAGCTTGATGTTGCTGGATGTATCTTCTTTCACAGATTTTTCCATGTTCCTGGAGAGCCACAGAACAATCTCTCTGTTGATCCTCAGTACATTCTTCCTCCCTTTGGGGCTCTTTGCACAAACCCATTGATTCTTTCAAACACATTTGGTCTGAAGCTGTGGAGATCTAAATTCACTAAGAACAGTGCAGTAAAATGTGAAGCATTTTAGTAGTCACTTTTTAAAAAGAAACAAGCAATCATCTTCAAGTAGCTTCTACTATGAGGAAATAGCTAGAGATTCTGATTGTCTTAATAATCTTTCATCCAACACTTTCTTGGGGGGAAAAACACTTTGCTGTCTGTATGAAGCAGCCTTCATTCAGTACTATGTTAGAGATGAAGGCCTCCAAAGCATATGAAGAATATGGGAAAAAAAGATTTCAGCTCAAAATTTGGAAAATCATTTGAGAATAAAAAAATGCTATCAATCTCTATCACAAGATAGGCAGTAGAACAGCACAGCAGTATGATCACTCAGAGCAGCAAATTGGTAATGTCCTTTCCAGGTGGGCAGTAAATAGTAAAGTAGTTGAGTCTCATCATCTTATTCCTAAACTAAATGTCATATCTGAAAGCTACTTATGAGTGCCATTGAAGTTCTAAGCTCCACAGAACCTACACCTGTGAAATATCACTGAATATTTATTACTAATCTATTAATTATAATTAATAAATTATTAATTATAATTGATGAAGTAATTGTTTTGATCATACAGAACATATAAAGAAAAAATGTCCACACTACTTTTTAAGGAAGCCTACAGGCCTTTTTTCCCCTCAATATACAAAAGCTAAATTCAAGTAGTAAAAAGGATATTTGCCAATCAAGAAATCCTAAGATGATGAAGCAAAAGGTAAGACCACCCTTACTAAACACCTCCAACATGAAGAGCCAGAATAAAGAAATGGACAGAAAACGTTTCAGTCACTGAACTAGCCTCAAGCATTTATTTCTGAAAAAGCGCACAAGAAATTGAACTGGAAAAGCCCAAATACCTCCACTAATTACTAGCAGACTCTCCTTCTTCTCCTTCTCAAAGCGAGTTGCCATTTCTTCCTGAGAGGCTTCTTCATCCTCTTTATCTTCCTGTAGTCTCTTCATCCTTTCCATCAGGGCCTCCAGCTCACTTAAAGAATCTGCAATCTGCAAAAAACACCATGACATTCTGCAAAATTAGAAGACAGTCAACCTGTGTCATCTTTGGATTACATGCTTGACAGTAAATGTTCTCAAAACCAGCCAGCAGCAGCAAACACAAAAACTCAATGCATTTTGCCACATAGATCATAGACAAACAGCTTTCACACAGCAGGGAGACAGGAGCTGGGAAATGTTAATGCGGCCTGCTGCAGCAATTTACTGCAGTGGGATTAACAGTGAAGAGGTGGTGTTTGAGTGTGGAAACCACAGTCACTCATATTCCACCACATAGACAGCTCAGGAAAATCCATCTGCGTGCCCTACGTCTCCCATAAACAACTTTTCATACTAAGGGAACTACATTCAGTCCATTGGCAATGGAAAATATGCTTCTGAAGAGATGCAGTGCAGCACTGCCTCATAGAAACACAACCTGAGATGGCAAATCAGTACTTTTCTTTCATTATGTGTAAACAAAACAGCCACTTTTCCTTACTTTTGCGAGGAAAAAAGACCTCTTTTAATTAGAAATGCGTCAAAATTTTGGGTGCCCTGTACCCATCATTCAGATTTTTTAATAAGATAAATTATTTTATTTTTCTTTTCCATCTTTTTGAGTCTGTTCTTTTGCCCACAGTTACAATTCTAGCAGACTCCTCACTGCTTAGCAATAAGCACAGTCAGCAGCAATGCTCTGCCCGCTACAAATGGGGAATAAGGGACCTCCATGGCATGAGCTGGCATGTTTTACAGCCCAGAAATTTAATACACAGTGATTGAACTGAGTGATGACATGCTTACATTCTACTGGTAATTGTAAAAATTGTATCTAGCAACTCTGCTCATAATCCTGATTTGCCATCAAAGGCAATGAGGCTAATTCATCTGTCGGCATTAATTCAGGGGCATGTCTTCAAAAGCATTCTAGAGCACCTTCCAGGAAAAAATGTCCAGTTAATTAACTGGTAATCAAATTAATCAAGTTAATTAACTTAGTAATCAAAGTTCTCTGTTGATTCAAGACAGGAATGCCAGCATGAAGAATTAAGTAATTTTATTTCAGACATTTCCTCCCATCTACATGAAAGTGTTTCAAACTGTTTCGTGACTGTAGGCCTTAAAGTAAAACATAATAATAATTATTATTATTATTACTACTACTACCACTACTAATACTTGTATTTTTTTCCATCTTTCTTTTCACTCCCTATGTTAGGAACATGGATGGAACAATGCTCTAATCAATGCCCCACTGTCTAAAGAAACTGGGACTTTGAGTTTTCTGCTGAAAGCAAAGTTTTAGTCTTTCCCGATGGGTGGTGAGATTAACTATCAAAATCACACTGCTCTGACTGCCATCCACTGTTACAGGGTGGTTTTCAGCAGATTACACTGGAAATTGCCAGAGTGTATGAAAGAATTATTGGACTCAAGCACTCCTGTAAAGTAGACAAAAAAATTTCAAACAAAAATTTAAACAGGACAGAATGGAAGTAAGTTTTCTAATGCAAAACAGAGGCAAGCAAAAGAATTATCTTGCAACACTAACCCCAAAGTTGCTACTTGTGAGGGATGCATTTTCTATGTTGTTGTCATTGGCAAGATCACAGACACAGAAGTTGTTGACTGCTATAAGTCTGACTCCATTGGATGTATCCGGATCTCTCTCTGGATTAATGCCACTACCAAACACAAAACTTGCCAAGGCATGATAATGGGCCAACAGGACAACAGCATGAACCAGTTCAGGAAGAGACCAATTATTTTCCCCAGTCTTGACAAGTTTCTGAAATGAGAATAAAAAAGTGTAAATATAAAATTTCTTTTGGCCCCCAGATTTTCTATAAAACACTACACATTTCAAAAAGGCATCAATTCTTTCTTCCAATAATACCATATTCCCCTTGCACACACTCTCATGGGATAAAAAAAGAGACACCTAATATATTACTTCTTTTCTTTTGGGCTATTTTAGCCAATGCTATTCCTCAAAAGAAAATCTTACTGGCTTGTCACACAGGAGAATCAGCTTGTTTGGTGCACTAGTACTTCCCTGAACTTTTTAACTCAGGGTAATGAAGCCTAACTAGGCAGAGTTCTGCCTGTAGTTCCAAGCCTACCTTGCACAGTTCTAACCAGTTCTTTTCACTAGACATTTACTGCTATTTACAGGGCATGACTGAAGAGGTACCTGGATGTGCTCTTTTGTGATCAGCCAGGGCCGGTGTGCAAGAAGTTTGTTTATTTCATTCAGGTTTTTCAGTCTTTGGGGAATGTATTCTAAACCATTCAACCACTCTGCAATCCCACCAGTCTTCAGAAACTCATCAACGTGCATATTTATTAGGTAGGAACACTGATGTCTGGCAGCAGCCTGGAATAATTAAACACAGAGGGAACAGTGCAGCACATTAGTGTGTGATCTGCTTTTGCTGTGGGTGAGAGACAGGTTAATAACACAAAACAAAAGTAAAATATCATTCCAAAAGGCCTTGTGCAAATGCATTTCAATGCACTTCTATACAGTATAGAGGGTTCTCCAACAAAAATATATTTGATTACTCTGGATTGCAAAATATAATTTTGGGTGGAAGTGATCACTAGAAGAGAAACCTCACACAGCTGACTTAGAACTTGCTTGGAACCTTGTCCAGACAAGATCTTCACCCTTGGAGGTCACAGAACCTTTCCTGCTGCAATGTCTCAACATCCTCAGAGAGAGAATTGCTTTCCTTGTGTCTCTCTGGAATTTCTTGTGACTTGAGTCCACTGCCTCTCACCCTACTGCTGCACAGTGATGTGGGCATGTGAGAGGAGCATCACTGCGGGAAACAGGGCATGATGTAGGTTGCTGATTCTCCTCCCTCACTGAAAACCTTCTGGCTAGGCATGCTTTACTGTGATTAAAGTCTACAACAAAAATTCAGCCTCTGTCAAAATACCGCCCTAATTTCTCCTTTGTAAATTCTTCCTGCTTTTGTTCTTGTTTTAACTACAGAAGTCAGAGTTGCAGGAGAGGAGGCCCAGCCTGCTGGTACATACCATGATGGCAATGTAGTGCCTGTAGGGCAAAGGAAGGGGCCCATCCATGCGCAGCATGTAGAACTGGCTGCGGAGGAAGGACTCCAGGTACTGAGTGTGGATGCTCATGACCTGGGTGATGTTATCCAGGCGACCAGAAGTAGAATATTCTTCCACAAGAAGATTAGTACGTTCATCCAAACCATTTGCTTGCATAACCTTGAAAATAAGATGGAGAAAATTTAACAGAGGGAGAGATTTTCTCTAGCTTTAGCCTTTGGGAGAAACACAATGCGGTATGAAAGGTTTATCTGTGTCCAGACTTAAAGACAATGATGGAGTTCTGGATGTATATTTGCAAACATACATGCCTGCATGAATGCAAATACACACACACAGATCCTGCTTGTATACTGAGAACTGAAGAGGACTTTACACTGAACCTCTGTTATTTTTTATACGTTTCTAAAAACCCAAAGCCATTTTTCTATACATCTTCTTGAAACAGAGGAAGTCACAGATGCTGAAATCAAACCTGTACAGGGAGCTGAAAGTAAGAAAGAGCTAAATGGAAAGTAAATTCCTTATGGAAGACAACCTGTTTAGACACACACCACCTGAGTGCTCAGCCCTAAAATCAATTTCAAAATTAATGGAGAGGAACTGGATTATGTAACCAAATTATAGAAACAGCCTGGCAATCTACCCCTTCTGTGCTTGTATAATTGAAGAGGAGATCAAATGCTAATTTGTCCATAACATTCAGGTATTATTTAGAATAGGAATTTAATGCTTTCTTTAAACAAAAGCTGTTCTTTAATTATTCCAACCAATCCAAACCTTGGGCACAAGATGAAATGAAACAGCAGAAGAGTAAGTAGCTCTTGCATTGCAAGCCCTGACACAGTATGAGTGCTATTACTCAGTGTTTATCACCAGGAACAGCCATTCTCAACATGTTCACCACTGAAGTTACAAGCACAAGACTAGAAAACCCAGTATTTATTCTGACACTGTGCAGTAATAAACCAGCCAGCTTAATATTGCAAACACCATGAAATGAGAACATATTTTAGTTGTTTTACTGCACATGAAGGTAAAAGTGGCTAAAACCAAGAAACACAATGCTTTTGCTGAAACATTCTATTTAAAATGTTTTCTTCTTTATGATGGGCTGATGAGTGGGCCATGTCTCAAATATTTTGCTACCAGATCTTATATAGAAGTCACATGCAAAGAAACAAAACAACATATTACATCTTCATTTCTCACCACATTTGTGGGCCCAAAAAGAAAGGGGAGAAGCAGCTTCACAGTTAGGCAGCTCCATCTTTTTTACATATATTTCTTCACTATGGCAGCTTTTCTGTGTCTAATACCCAAACTGATACCTTCTAAGTGGTCCTTAATAATGTTTTTACCATCAGAATTTTATTCACACATTAGAGATCATTTATCTTCCTGTATATACCTCACTACACTCCTAGGAGTCCCCCTTATTCTTCAGCAAGTGTATCTCCCATGTATTTAAGAGATTCTTGTCTCATTTAGTGGCTTCTTGGGGAAATAATATTTTTTGTATCTCCAGTAAGGTTTCTAATCTTCTCCAGCTTGTCAGGAATTTTTCTTGTAACAGTGCAAGTTATAGAAAGAAATTCTGCTGACAGAATCAAAATATAATCCTGTAGGACTGGGCTGTTGCTATGTTAGGCATAGCAATACGCCATATGACTATTTCTAAGCTTTATCTTCATCTCTATTACTATCCTCTTCATACTGTGCATGTACTTCCTCCTGATTTATTTCCATCCACAGACATTTTTTATTTTAATTCTGCTTTCAAAGCCTTGTGGCATGTTAATAGGAACCTTTACAATTAAGTCATTATTCTCAGCCCATATTCTTTCCACTGCAACAATAAAGCAGCCTTTAACACCAGTAGTGTTATTATCACTTCAGTGTGTTACTATTCTGTCACTAAACCCTCTCTATTCACTGCACTATTTCATGACAAGGAGTGAGGGAGAAAGGCAGTCGTTTGTTCAACAAACCACAGTCGGCATTTGTCATGGTAGAAATCTCCAGTCTTAAATCCACTTCTTCCTTTCAACCATAAATTCTCTCAAGAGCCACAGCTATAGTCTAGGGAGTGAAGTCATATTTGCAGGTTCTCTCAAACTGAAGGTCAGGCACTGCTCTGAGAGCTACATAATCACACTTCTGCAATACTGGACAGGCCTCCCCTCAAGTCTGGCATTATAAATAATGTGTTCACACCCACCCAAGAGGAGCAGAGCTGTCACTCATGGCTGTCTCTGGGAAAGCTGGTAACAGAAAAGATGTCAAACAGTACCACTTGTGTGAAAGGATGGGGTGGGTGTTACCCACTGGAACCTGCTCCAGAGACACCATTGCTTTTGCTTTCAAGGGAGCTCATCCAGGTATCATGGAACAAGCAGGGTCATAGAACCATTCTTCAATGTCATTATTTTCAGAATTATCACCCAAGCACAGCTAACTGTAAACTTACTTCATTCTCTGGTATAAAGGCACTTGGTCCTCTTGTCAACGGCGGGGAGACCTGTACTCTCTTTTCCTGCAAAACAGTCACACAGTTCAGTCACTGTCAGGAATTACATATTCACCTCACAAGATGAGATCTTCAAGGTCTGGAATCTATTCTATTCTCAAAGCCCCCTGAGTGTTCACTGAGGATGTATGGCACCACACCACATTAGATCAGCTTTGCATCCCCTGTACTTTGCATGAAGGAATGGCATTCATTTTGGCAAGGAATAGCACCAAGGCAGAAACAACCCCCAAAAATCTAATTCCAGTTGGTTGACAGACTAGTTTGAAGATACACAGACAATAGCAACAAAACATGTGGCATGATGCTAAAATTAGCCAATTCACTGGATTGAATGGAAATTTGAAAACAGAGGGGGAAAGAAACCGCACTCAGGAAATTATAAGCAAGATGCTGGCTTTTTTCAACATCAGCATCTGATGAGATGCTTAACGTTGTGAAGACTGTAAGAACTTTTTGTGCCAAATATTGGCATGAAAAGCAAACCAGCAAGACCCAGTTACATGCATTTTCAAGAAACCTGATGAAAAGGCCACCTGGCTCACTGCTGAGCCTGGAGCACACTGCAAGCAGCACGAGACTCGGTGTGCAAACCCCAGCTACAAGGCAGGAGGATATATTTAGTAAAGAACAAGCTGATAGTGTAAGAAGAGCCAGAGGACTTTTTTGATTTATTAGGGATAAAAAGCTGGATTAAGATAAACTGTGCTGCCAACCAGAGGAGTGAAGGGGACCTGGGGAGGCTGTCTGCTCCTCCAACTCATCAAGGGCAGGACTAACACTGTCCACATGATTCCTGAACAGTGTTGGTCCAATTCTCCTGGAGGTTCCTTCCTCTCCACAGGTCATTTATTTCAGTGACTAACTCCTCAAACTGTTAAAGTTTTCCTAATGTCTAATCTGAATTTCCCTTGCAATAATTTAAAGCAGTTGCTTCTTGTCTTTACTTCTTTTCCTCTTTATGGTTATTTTCCACCTATCTGGCTGGCTGCACACTTGTCTCAAGTCCCTAATTGCAACCACAGTGTTGGTGACTCTTAATATGTTATCCATAAACAGCAGTATTGGATTTGCATACTAAGTATTTCGTGCCCCTAACATAAAAGGCTGAAGTTTTCCATAACAAATGATTCTTAAATACCTCTACCAGGGGGGCTTTAGGCTTAACTGCCAGTGTGCACAAACAGCAGTGCCAGTCCCATAATGAATGTGCCACTGATTTCCACCCAGGAAAATTAAGCCACTGGAGCTGCGTAACTATTGTCCTGATCCTTAAAAACATCCTGTCCTTTCTAAATTAGATTAAAGAATAACATGCAAAAATCAGCAATGATTATTCAGGAAAGATGTTCCAAAGCAAACTCTCACAGGACAATTGAATTTGTGACTTTGGAACAATTAGCTGCTAAAAGATGCAGAAATAAGCTGGATCAACCACATGAAGCCCAGCAGCCAGGAGACAACTTTCTGCATCTGCTGCCTACTGTCACAGCCCCAAAAATCCTGTAAGACACTTCTCATGTACAAAAAGTACTCAATCTAAAGTATGAAGAAACGGTGAAGAGAGTCCTGGTATCTGCACATGCAACCCCTTCCTCACACAGTTACACAAGGCACAGGAAGGCATCTTCTGCCCTCAAATACACTGTCTTGCCAGCAGCCAGTCATTTCCACCAACATTAAAAAAAAGAAATGCTTTCCAAGATTGGATCCAAGCCTGGATTTTACTTGGTTCATGAAAGTTATCTGGAAATTAAAGTTTAAAACCATTATTTCACACTACATAATCTGGAGGAAGAAGCTTGTGTGAGTGATACAACTTGGATACCTGCACACTGTCAGCTTTTGCTGGAGCATACCAGAGCTCAACCTTCTCCATCCTGCTTTCTGATCTGTGCCTTCTTCAGGCTCTGCAAAGCTGGTCCTTAGGGCCAGACCATGGCAAAAAAATCCCTTTGTTGCTTCTGGCAGGATCTGGGCTCCATTCCCCTGTTCTCCCATTCAGTGTGACTGCAATTACTCCTTTGTGCCTGCAGATAAGCTACTGCTGAGGAAAGGAGGAAACAGTACTTGGGTGGATGAATATAGGCAAGTATCAACAGTTAATTCCTGTGAATGATGACAGAAAGTTCAGGAGATAGTCAGACATGAAAAATGTGTGCAAATCTACTACAAAAAGAACAAAATCCAACTCTTTTTGGGTGGTGGCAATTCTAAAAAACAAAACAAACCTGGGGAAAAAAAAAACCACAAACAACCAGAACAAGAGCAAAATCCCATAAGCCTGAACATGACCATTCAAGCTGATGAGTCTTATCACTAGACACTTACAGGGAGATGGGCTTTTTTGATATTAGAAATTATATTCTTCTCTTCCACCAACAAGAAAGATTATTTTGCCTTCTTGCCAAAGCTTTTATTTTATTAAAACTGGTTAAAACAAGATTGTGAGGAGAAAAGGAGCAAACATCATCTGGTTGCCCAAGTTCTCGGGATACTATAAATAAAACCACGTGAAGTTTACAAGCACTGAGAAAGATAATGTTGGCTTTGTTGAGCTGCAGATAAGAACCACTCCCTCTGGGCATGCTTTATCTAGAACAATGATTTAAGGTCTACCCGAGAACCCAAACATAAAAACCAGTTCATGGGAATTAGAAAGCAACAGTGCAGATTTATGGTCCTTTATGGTGAAAATTCTTGCAAAGCTTCTTGTTTTCCAAGAAAGCCATTTTGTTTTCCTGTCCAAGTAGTCTTTGCAGATTACGCTATCACTAAGTCAGCCAGGGTCCCAAATATCTTATTTGAAACTGGATTCTTTTGCTAAGAGGCTGAAGCAAGAAACAGGTTGCTCAGCAACTAAAATGCTGCACGCACATCTACCAGTCATTCTCTGCTTCATGATCCTCCAGAAACAAAATTACTTCAGTAAGAACAATTTCCATTTACATCAACACTAATACCTTTTTGAGGGCTGTTTCCTCAGAAGGAATGAGATATGAAGGGTTTCAAAGCAGAAAAAAGTGTGCCTGAGCATGTTCCTGAGAGAGGGGCTGCTGCAAGCCAGAGCCTCAGAGCAGGTTTAGCAGCAGAGTCACTGTCACACTGAGGTGTCAGACAGCAGAACAAGTCCCCTGCAGAGCATGGGAGAGCTGATGCAGGAATTAATGAAAAATCTGACGTAAGCTCAACCTGTGACTTCTTTCTGTCCTTAAACTGCACTTGCAACGGTGTTAGAACCTTCATCAGGAATCTGAATGGTGACAAAGTAGCAGCATTTCCCCTTTGCCCAGGACAAACTGTAAGAACTACCTTTGTCCTTGGGCGAGCTCCGCACAAACCCAGCCACAAATCTGCAACTTGCCATCTCACGGGTTTATTTTCAGTTGTGGCAGTGACTGCACACCCTTCCCTCCAGAGCCAAGATGGGCACTGGAATGCAGCACCTGCATCCCAAATAGCTGCCAAGAGGCAGAGCAAGGAATGCCAGAGCCACTGGGGTTGGTGATGTGGCCATGAAGGCCAAGGGGGAGGAAGCACGAGCCCAGCTGGCACTGGGATAGCACAGCGGCTTTCCTCCCAAAGCAAAAGAAATAACCTTTCTTCCTCTCCACCACCACATGAATCACCGTGTCCTCAGGCTTTAAAGAAATGGCTATTTTTAGCAAGCTGTAAAAGGAGGCTGTTCTGCTAGAGAATGGAAGTGCTAGCTGGTGGGGCTGATCAAACAGCTGCTTTAGCAAGCACTTCTGAATATCTACGGATTCAGAAAACACGGGCAAGAAGCAAGTGCTTGCACTGCTATGGGTGCAGGGAGCATTCTTACACACATGGCACATAAAATCTAATTCATCCTGAGCATGACACCAAGGTGGCCATGCTTCAACAGGATGGGGGGAGGGGGATCACAGGGAAGAAACATTCAAGAGGGAATTTTGTGAGCCATGACAGAGCTGCCACTTGTGTCCCTGCAAACTCTCAGCGCAGTGCAAGTGTCTGGAAACACTCACAAAGGGGCTCAGAACCTCCACTCTCACAACACCTGCCACCACTGCCAAGACATCAGGATAATAAACAACACCAGATCAAATAGAAATCCTAAGGGCATCCCAAAATTAGCTTTTCCTGAGGAACAAATTATTTTTCTTAAACAAGTAGAAATGTTTTGGGGGGGAAGGTAATGAGTAACTTATTTATTAAACCTTTTCTTCTATTATAATCTACAAGCCGTTTTGCTACCATCTAGGATTTGTAAGAATCTTTGTTATTTAAATTCAGTGGTCCATCTCTTTAAAATACTCATTTATTATCTGCAGCAAGAATCTGAGTCAAGTGTGTCACTGGATGGGAGTGGAGAACTAGGTTTAGGATTCCCTATCCGGGGCTGAATCTTACCAAAGGAATAGCTTTTATTCCCCAGTCTCAGTTTTATCTTACAGTTCTTCAAACTCAAAATACACCAGCTCAATCTCACAGACTTAATGTAATGGAGCACATATTTGCTTTTCAGCTGACACACACAAATGCCTTGAATTTTAGTTCACATTACAAGCAGCATTATTTGCTGCTACTGCTGGTTAAAACCCCACCTATAAACTGCTTTCTCCTACTCCCACTGTGTTACTGAACATATTTCATTTTTTGTTCTTGGATCCTGGAACAGGGTCTACCCCGACTGGCTCTAATTACAGTCAAATGCTCTGATTTTCGGTAAATTGTAACACAATTTTAGTCATACAGTCATACTGGACCATCTGCTCATTCCATCCTCACTGGAAACAGAAGAAAGCATTAAAAAAAGTTATCTGAATGCCAGTTGTGTCTTAGCATCTACTTTTATTCAAATTCTTCCCTAGGATGCAGGAGGGATTTTGTCTATTTCTGCACATGCCAAGTTGCCTTTTGATTTAGCTCCCCAGCCTTGGCGGATGAACAGTAGTTTAGAAATGTGGCAGAAGTTTAGGATGTATCTAATTCATTTTAGGTGGTAACTTTATTATTTGTTG